GCGGCTAAAACTTTTGCGAGATCTCGCAAAAGTCCGTCTTAATTTTTTTTTTCTCCCATATCCTCTGCGGGGCTCCGTACCTTTGCATTTACTGTAATGAGCATATTGACAGCGTAATGACTCCGAAGCTGACGTGGACGTGATGAGGCTACCTGTGTCTGATTCATGATGTGTGGCTCAGTTAGCTGTAGGCATGTTGGATGTTACTGTAGAAGCTACATATTATACATTATGCATTTTGCTTTCTACCTGTACACATTTATTGATCGCTAAAATCACTACTGTTTCACATTGTGCATGAATTTGCACAAATTAGCATTATGGGTCATATTAGCTGCTGAATAAATTTGGCAAGCTAGCTAACGTTAGCTGATAAACTAATCTGAAAATGAGCAGCTAAGTTACTAGATCAGTTTGGTTGAATTAGTCACTCTGATCTATTCTAGACACCATTTTCCTGAGATAGCTTTAAGTTGATTTATGTTTGCAGGAAAGCTAGCATTAAGCTAGCCAAAAAAAAAAACAACTTTTCAAAATAAAAGTTTTTATTTAAATAACTTAAAAAACAACAACAACCAAAAACCACTTTTTAAAATAACCTTTAAATAAAAAGATATATAAAATGTGCAACTTTAAGGTCATGATTTAAAGTGCCTACTTTTTTTCTTCTCATGGTTGGTTATGGTGAAATCTCCTCAAAACTCGTTACCATAGCATTAATAAACCATTAGGCCCATTACAATACCAGTAAAACAGTAGCTAGTATCTGCTTGAGCAAAGCCCTGAACCCCTGACTGTTGGCTATGCCGATATCTTTTCCTCTTTTTGTAATCCGTTAATTGCTAAAAAATGGTTAAGAAGCTGAAACACCATCAGAAAACTCTGTTGCTGCAGTTTCGATGATGTCCGAGTCGTGGACACTGTGTTTCCTGTGCACAGTTGAACTCGGAGAGAGAAGTGGTGGGATCACAGTTACATAACTCAGTGGAAACTTCCTGACCGGTGGGCTTGGCAGGGAAATATCAGGGAGGGAGTTTTCCTGGACTCGCTCACCTTTGGTTTTAATGGCCGTGTCGATCCTGGCAGCATCACGGGCCGGGTCGAAGTCTCGGGCCGGCACCACGGTGGGGTGTTTGGCCTCTGGTTCCTACAG